ATTTTCTCTCTTGGTTTTTCCACTTATGAAATGATGCAATATGAATGATTTGACTTTGTCAAAATTGTTTTATTATTTCATTATTTTGTTTTTTATATTTGATTTATTTGATTTTTATAACATTTTATCTCTTCTGTCGGACTGCGTGGCTACTTAGCTTACAAAGAACCTGAAACCAGGCTAGCTAAAAGGCAGACTGTCCGAGATAAAAGTGGTTTATTGCAAAAGAATGGTTTTAGCATCCCTTATCTCTTCTGTCAGACTGCGTGGCTACTTAGCTTACAAAGAACCTGAAACCAGGCTAGCTAAAAGGCAGACTGTTTGAGATAAAGGTATTTATTGTGAAAAGATTTTTGAGAGATTTTTTTTTGTTGTTTGTATTGTTGTATGATTATGCTATGCAACAAACAAATATAATCAAACAAATGCACACACAATTCACTCATCCGCAAACAGTAGGAAGATATTTTTTATCACGAGGTAGGGGTATCCTGCAGAAGAGTACGTATTCAGGGTAGTTATAAATTTCCTCACCAAGGCCAGGCCCCCAAGGTGCCCCCATTATAGGGTCTCCACTCTCCCAGCCTTCAGACCATGCATGGCACTAAGGCCTTGTCAGTCTTTGGGCCAAAAAAGGAAGGTTATCACCTTGAGTGGTGGTTTCCGACCATACCAGTGGGCTCATGACCCTCACTACGGCAAATCGTACAATGTAACCTACTCCCTAAGGTTATCCCACTTGCCCCTGGGTATAGGGGGAACTGTTGTGTGCAAGGATTTGTGTATAATTATTATTTCAAAAAATTGCATAAAATAAACATACAACAGTTATTAAAGTCAAACAATAAAGCATGTTATAAAACAAGGAAGGGTAAAAGCATAATTTTAAGTTTTTATTTCTTAAAATTAGTCCATCACTAAATGGGATTATCTCTCTAGCTTCCAGTGGAGTCACCATCTATCGTCGCCGTCAAAAGAGGCAGTCAGAGCGACGCGATGGTTTTGTTTGACTCACGTTTTTTAAAGTGTGGTTCAATGTCTTTAGATTGTCCGATAACCGGGTTGGACCTAAAAGCGAGGTTTTCAAAAGGGTTTGAGGAGTCGCCACCAATATTTTCACCAAAAACATTGGAAAAGGAAAAGAAGGCGGTGGTTTTTAAGAAAAACCAACTTTGGTCATTACAACTAGAGTTAGGTAAGGGAGTTAGTTATGTGTGGGGAAGGTATTAGCTTCCCCACGACGCCCCTTTCGGGTTCCCTATGATGGACCATTTTTTATAAAGAAATAAGAACTTTAAAACTACGCTTTTACCCTTATTTATTCATTGCAAAAATTAAGTTATCGACTACATGGCCCTTAATAACTAATGCACAAAAATATTATCTAAAAAGCAATAAAATAGAGAGAGGTATGGAAGAACCTTCGAAACAAGCTTTTTATATAATATGTTCTTGAAAAGGGCGCTTTTTGGTAAACCTCACGCTTTACAATGATGTTCGCTCTTTTCTCGCAGCACCTTAGAACGTTTTCTAAGAACTCTAAGAACTCTGGAAATGCTTCAGAGGGGTCCTAGGAGAGTATTTTGAGAATTGTGCAGTAGGAGAAGTTGATGAATTGTGTGAAAACAGTGAGAAGGTCCCCCCCCCCTTTTATAGGAATTTGCACCTGTCAGGTCTGGACCGTCGTCTCGCCAAACGAGATGATGGTCTCGTCAAATGAGATGGTGGTCTCGTCAAATGAGATGGTGGTCTCGTCAAACGAGACGGCGGTCTCGAGCCTTTGGGTGAAATTTCTTATTTTTCGTGTTCAAAAATCTTTCCTATTCTAATATGGGGCCTATTGATCAATCCTAGGGACCTTTTAGGCCTTGCCCATTTTCGAATGGAAGTTTTCTGCTCTTTATTTTGAGGCCGGACAAGATTTGGGGTCTATATATGTCAAGGACATAAACATATGTATACAAGTTCAAAAAGGTCTTGTATGGACTTAAGGAGACTCCAAGAGCTTAGTATAGTAAGTTGGAGCCACATATTATAACTAATGATTTTTTAAAATGTCCTCATGAGCACACTTTATTTTTAAAGGATGAGGGAAGTGAAATTTTAATTGTGTGTGTTAATGTAGATGATCTTTACATTGATAGTAATGAGTTGATGTTTCAATAGTATAAAACTATAGTGATGAATAAATTTGTAATGACTGATTTAGACAAGATGAGATACTTTCTAAGCATTGAAATTGTGCAAAATTGTACTGAAATATACATTGGACAGAAAAAAATACATTAAGGATATGTTGAACATATTTTATATGTTTGATAGCAATTCAATAAAGAATCTTATTACTCTAAGCACTAGGTTGTTGAAAGAAGATAAAGGAACAAAGGAGGTTAACAATATTCTGCATAAACAACTTGAAAGAAGTCTTATGTATCTTACCATTATAAGACCAGATACTACATATTTTGTTAGTTTGATTAGTGTTTTATGTAGCATCCAAAAGAGAGACACTTCCTAGTAGCAAAACAGGTTTTGAGATATTATAAGGTACTCAAAATCTAAGAATTTTCTTTAAGGTTGAAATAAATAAAGAGTTATTTGTTTACATTGATAGTGATTATGTAGGAGATCTTCCAGATAGGAAAAATACAACCAATTATGCTTTCCTTTTAATTAGTGATGTGATTTTATGAGTTTCAAAGAAACAACTTATGGTTGTCTTATCCATAATAGATGTAAAATTTATAGCAGTTGTATTGTGTGCTTTTAGAATGTATTTGGATGAGAAGAATTTTAGAACATCGTGATCATTATCAGGTTAAAGTTATTGTGATGCTTTGTGATAATGTTTATATAATTAAATTATCTTAAAGCTCAACTAAAAAAAATAAACATATCAATGTCATTTCTTGATAAATTTATATAATAATGATGCTATTGTGAATTATTATAGTATATTAAATCAGCTAGTATATATTATGATAAAACCTTTTAAGATTGAAGACTCTTTTCCTACAATTAGAAGTAGTACACTATTATATGTGAATTACTTAATTACTTTTTGGAATTTAGTTATAAAGCTAAGTATACAAACTTAGTTGTTTCTCATTTGTGGAATTACATCAATTAGGTCATATTTCTATCATTTTTTTTTTATCTCTATCTATGCACAATCTAATCTAATAAGAGGTAACATCATTGACACAAGAAACAAAATAATGACATTATGGACACAAGAAACAAAATGATGACAGGACACAAGAAACAAAATGATGACCAAGAATCAAATACAATGGGTATAATTTTTTTTTTTTACATTTATATATTCAAATAGAGTATGCAATAACTCAATCTTTTATGTTAATTTCTTTAAACTTGTTCGGGAAAGTGTAACATAGAAAGAAACTAATGTAAGAAAATGATTGAAAAAAATAAATAAATAAAAAAAGAAATAAAAGATAAATGAAATAGAATGAAAAAAATGATAGGAAAAGGAAAAAAAATGTTCATTAAAAAAAATCATAAATAATTAAATTAAAATTAAATATTTATTTAGTTATAAAATTATTCATATAATTATTAATTATTTTTTATTAATAAAATAAATTTTTAAATTAATATCTTTAAATTTTATGTCTCATTTTATTCAATAATATATACTTTGATATATAATTATAAAATATTTTTATAATATAATAATATTTAACATTCTAAGAAATTATTTTAATTTCAAAGCTTAATATAATATTATTTATACTTTTTAAAATTTAAATAATGTTTTAATATAAGGTTTTATCAATTATTAAAATGAATTTAAGATTTAAAATTTAAAATTTTAACTAAATTCAATAAAAAAATATTTTATATTTTTTAAATAATAACATAAATATAAAATAAATCTATTACTAACGACATGTTACTTAAAAAAAAAAGTAATCACACTTAAACAAGAGTATTAGGGAGAGGGGTAATCATTGACACAAAACATAATAGAAATTGAAGGATGAAAAATAATAAGAATATAGAAAAATATACAAAAGTATGGTTTAGGATTGACACAATTCATGTTAAAAAAATAAAGAAAAAAATTAAATATATATTTTGTCCTTAAGCAAATACAAATATTTTAAACTTTTAAAAAAATTCCCTAAACCGATTAGACCCATTAAGGTGCATTTTATCAGTTTAATGATTTTGCGTTGATTTTCTATTTTCTTTTTTTTTAATTAAATGTTTTTTTTAATAATGAACTGAGTTTTTATTAGACCGGTTAAACCAGTTATTAAGTATTATTTTAAAATATTGGCATATAAGGTTGCAATTTTAAGGGTAGTCAAATATATTAGTTGCAATTTTAAATTAAAAAAAATTATTGGCATAGTGTCAATAGTTTATTTCATTCAAAATTTATCGTATTAGTTATAATAATCAAAGTAGTTTAAGTGAAATTAGTCTTTGCTTGTAATTTTTAAAATTATAAAAAAAGTAAAGATATCAGTGAATTAATTTTTTAAATGTAGTAAATAATTATTAAAATTTATCTATTCATTAGTTATTCAATGCACAACAACATTTACTTAAGTCATATAAGAATTTGAATTTCAAACTAAAATAATTAATAAATTACACTTTATATTTTTCTTTTATTTTTTTACTTTAAATACTAATACAAAAATTCTATAAATTTAAAGGACGTGTTTGATTTAATTTATTTTCTTAGTTTAAAAACAAAATTTAAAAGTTTATTTTTTAAAATAAGTTAAAAATAAATTTTAATTTAAAAATCATCTAAACTGAAAGAGAAGGACATTGAAAAAATAAAGTTACGGAATAATTTTAATAAATTAGCGATGATACGTTGAAATATATTGATTTATATTATATGATGAGGTTCGTGCGAGAAAGAAGCAAAGCGAGTGAGTTTTCGGGGGGAAGGATCAAACCAGAAAGCAAAGAGAGTGAGTGAACAGCAGCGAAGAGTGAAGAACGAGGGGAGAAGAATGAAACGGTTTTTCAAAGTAGTGGAGAAAGATTCAGATGGGTCTGCGAAGAAGCCAAGAGGGAATGAGAATGATAATGAGGCTGAGACCGAAGAGAACAAGAAGAAGGAACCATTGAAGTTTATGACTTGGAATGCCAACAGTTTTCTCCTTCGGGTCAAAAACAACTGGCCCGACTTCACCAACCTCATCAACACTTTTGATCCTGATGTCATTGCCATTCAGGTTCCCTTTCATGCAAACCCTTTTCGTTTCTTTCCCTATTACTTCATCGTAGTTGTGGAACATATTTGCTGGACCATGGAATTTATTATGATTATAAATCATTTTAATTGAAGCCAAGGTGTTTTAACTTAAGCCATGACTTTGGATACATTGCATTGCTTGTTTGTGCTAATGATGAACTTGGTGTGGCATGAAATCTTCATTAGGAAGTGCGGATGCCTGCTGCTGGAGCCAAGGGTGCACCTAAAATCCAGGGAGAAATAAAAGATGATACAAGCGCAGCCAGGGAAGAAAAGAAGGTATTTTATGTTCTTTTGCTGATTGGGGCCACAGCATATCAATCTATTGTTTATGTGTATTGGAACTTTTATGTAACTAAATGAAATAAGGTGAAAATTGATAAAAAAAAAAAATTGGGATTTGGGTGAATTGGATTTTCTGCTTTGGGGTTTAACATATTGTAGAGTGACGATTGTCCATTCTGTTATGAGCGGATTCCCCCCCGAAAAAAACAGGCTGACCATTGGTAGCTTAGTAGATTGCTTGAGATTGATGGGTCAGGTAGATTGTCAGATATTCTTGAAGGGGTTGCGGGGGTAAGCTTGATCTTCTTCTTCAGATATGGTCCAGGAAAAGCATTATCTGGGAATTCTCTCAATGTTGATGCTGTTTCAAGCATGGAGGATTACTATTGAGAACACCAAGTAAAATTGTGAAAAAATAAATATTTGCTTGAAATCAAACATTGATGCGAGATGATTGTCAATGACAATCATATTCTTTGCTAGTAATTATAAAGTGAATGTGGGGAAAGTCAAATCATACATTGAACCCTTTAAAAGCCATAGTTTTAGGGGCTTGGGGTGGGATATGAAAGCATCTCCGTATGAAAATATTTTCATAAACCACCCCCATTTCAAGCCCTTCTAGCTACCAAAAAATGATGGTGGAGGAGTAATGGTTGGTTTTTGACAGCCATTGGGATCAAAGGCTCTGGATACCATCGTAGAATTGAGAGAGGATGATAGAACTAATTTTATTTGTATGCACTAGTTTTGTCTAACTTCGTTTCCCTGTTGTCTTCTAGATTAGGGCAAGATCTCTGTTTGACAATTAGAGATTGGGGCCTGCTGTTACCAGCTTAGATTCTGTGTTTATGATGGTGGATTTGAGACTGCCATCAATGTAATCCTTGAACCACAGCTTCCTAGTTGTAGATTGAAAACCACAAAATCTATTCTCTATTTTTGCCTTTCGCTCTGCCACTTCAACATTGAGTTTATCCTACACCTTGTGGTCTCCCTTCCCACTCAATCAAATGCAATGCCTTAAGACCATGTGTGAGATAATCATTGCTTCCTAGGATTCCATAGATGACATTGTTGGCCATTGGTGTCAAGCTTCAAATGATGAAGTGAGGAAAGATGAGATGAAGTAGACTACTTTTCTGATGTTAGACTTTTGGGTTCATTATCCATAGAAGAAACCAAGGACTAGAAATTTGTATTAAAATGCATTAGAAATTGGTCTGATGGTAACCCTCCACCCTTGAAGAAGGAAGTAATCAAGCATTCCTTCATGGTACATGGTACACAGTCTTAGTTATCACTTTCCTTGCAACATTTCAGAAACGATGTTTCTTTCTCATTGGTGAACCATGTCGGTGGCCCCAACACAAAATTCAACATGGACACGTGAGGAAACATATAATCATACTTTGCGGCCTAAAGAAATTCTTTGTAACATTTTTTAACCATGTAAAGATTAGAGATGGAGCAAGGGGCAACCTTTGCAAAAATGTCAACAAGCAAATTCTTTGGAAGATATTTGATGGTGGCAAGGAAGCACCAACACCTCTGTAGAATAGTGTGTTGACTATGTCTGACACACTTTTGGACGCGTCACTTGTTAGACACACCTTCAACATATGTCTGGCAGTCACAAATATAAAATACTTTTTTTTTTCAGCTTAAAAACCTCTACAACACATCTTGCCATTTCCTCAATACAAATTGAACATGAGTGAATAAAGTGAGTTAATGCTTCCAAAACACTATTATCATCAAATAGTAAAAAATAAACCAAAAGTATTAAAGAGCTCACATTGACTATAGATATAACCAATTAATAATAAAAAATATAGGTGCAAATCTCACCTTACAATTTAGTTTTGTATGGTTTAGTTAAACACCTCTTCATTTCTAATATGGTATCAGATCCTATCTTGGTGAGGTTTGTTGAAGAAGACCATGGGAGGCCATAAAAATTTGAAAAGATTGAGAGATACTCGCGAACATTATCACTTTAGATAGTTTGAATAGAAACATCAAATTGATTTTTAATTATAGTATAAAAGGACTGAAAAATAGGAAACAACTTAAAACGATTTTTTTACTAAAAATAACCAAGTAAATCGGGAATAATCATCAATAAAGGTGACAAAATATTGAAAACCTAAAGTGGATTTAATATGGCTTGGTCCCCAAATATTAGAATGAACTAAAGTAAAAGAAGACAAAACTCAAGCAGAAGTACTTTTAGGGAAAGAATTATAACTATGTTTACCTAATTAACACAACTTACAAGACAAAGTAAACAACTTAGACAGATGCAAAACACGTTTTTGCAGCTTGGCAAGGCTAAGATAACCCAATTGAGCATGGATGAGAGAGCGGGAATCCATCGTCAAGCCAACATGAGTAGACATCCAAAGATGATAATGGTCATGAGACTCACATTCGGTGTAAATTATCCGTTCCAAACTCCGGTCATGTAAGAAAACAACTTATATTATAGATTATGCAAGACTCACTTTTTAAGGCTTTGTATCTATGAGACTTAACAAGTTATTGCAACTATTGAAGATATATATGTTTCTTATTTAGAACTCTATTGTGAGGGTTGTTGTTATAAGAAAACTATAACTAAAAAAATTGTACATTATATCAATCTTAATTCTCAATTGAGATTTTTATCATTTTGATTATATATCATTGGTGTAGTTGTGTCCTATATTTTGGACAATAGCGATGTCTCAGTGTTCGTGTCAGTGTTGTATCTGGTGTCCATGTTAAAGTAGGTGGTGCTTCAAGAATGGTGGTGATAGACCCATCTCTATCTTGCTTCTTTTCTTTACTCTTAAACTAGCCTTTGTTAAAGCTTGAAATCTAATAGGAAGCTTGGAGGCTCTTTGGCTTTATAATGATATATTTAGTTAGGAGTAAAGAAAACAAACACATGGATATATGGGTTTGTAACCACCATCAAATCTCTTCCAAAAGATTTATTTACTTGTAGACATTTTTCAAGTTATCAACTGCTCCATCTCTGACCTTTGTATGGTTAAACAATGTTGCAAAGAATGTCTTCACGTTGTTTAAGATGATTAGGTGTACCATTGACATGGTTCACGAATTAGAAAGAATTGTTGTTTCTGAAACATTGCAAGGACTGTTGTTAGTTTGAGTTTAGTGTAGTGAAGAAATGGTTGAATGCCTTACTTCTTAGAGGGTTGAATTGAGTGTTAAGATTTTGAAAAAGGAGATATTAGCATTACTTATACACCGAAACAGGAACAAGATGATATTGTTATGGTAAGTTGATATGAGTATCATATTACTTTGTAATATTTTAGAACACATTTGTTCAAACCTATGCAGATATTGATGCGTGCACTCTCTGCTCCACCTTTTGGCAACTATCGTGTTTGGTGGTCTCTTGCAGAGTCGAAGTATGCAGGGACAGCACTACTGGTGAAAAAATGCTTCAAGCCAAAAAGTGTTGTTTTCAATCTTGATAAATTAGGTATCCTGCTTTGCAGATTTTTCTTATTGTATTTATTAAACATTTCTTTTGCTTTTATAAATATATTATGCCCTCAAGTGTCAAATATTAACATTGTTGGTGGTATCACTATTTTGCTGAAAAATATCAACATAAAAGTTGGCAATTTTTAATCCTGCCACCATTTGATTGTGTCCTTGGGTGACATTAAAGAATTACATGACGTTAGTATTACTAATACATATTGTTTTGATTTGGAAAAGAAGTAGCAGGAATCCTCCTAAGTATAGTTTTTATATATTGGTTTTTGAAAATTTTTAACGTCAAAAGTTTATGATATATTTATATGAAATTCCGGTCCAATTTTTAAAATGATTATTTATATATCTTAAAAGGACAATCATGGTAAAGACTCTGCCGAAATATTATTTAACAGATCTGCATATTGGATTATATTCCATTTTTAGCTTACTGCTGATGGATTCTTATTGTTATTGTTAGCTTCAAAACACGAACCAGATGGTCGAGTGATCCTAGCTGAATTTGAAACACTACGTTTATTAAATACGTATGTACCAAACAATGGATGGAAAGAGGAGGCAAACTCATTTCAGAGGAGAAGAAAATGGGACAAAAGAATTCTTGAATTCGTTACGCAAAATTCAGACAAGCCTTTGATATGGTGTGGGGATCTAAATGTCAGGTGGTTAATCTTCATTTGTTGTTGGGCTTTGGGGATATTGGAATCAATTTTTGTGCCCTTTGTTTGGAAACATACTTTATCTCTTCAATTCTTTTGTCAAAAAGTTATGGTTACTCTCAAGCTTAGCTGTTGGTTTCATCTAGCTTTATTACCAGCCATGATATGAAAAAAGCAAAAAAATGCAGCAGTTTGAGAGGACCACCTAGATTTATTATTATTATTAATTTTTTTATTTATTTTATATTTGATGTAACTATAGGCATTGTATGAAACTAATTCATTGAAGGTACATATTGCTTCTGATGTTTTAGTTTATAATAATCTGGCTTTTTCTAATTTTAGTTCATACCGCAGAGTTTTTTTTGAATGTTGTGTGAATTGTTCTTATTTTTTATCCAAGTCTATGCTATTAGCTATTTGACTGTGGCTACCATGCATCTGCATTTCTAAGGAGCTTTAAATATACATATATTCGTTGTGTGCAGCCATGAAGAGATTGACGTGAGTCATCCAGAGTTTTTCAGTACGGCAAAACTCAGTGGTTATATTCCTCCAAATAAAGAGGTCTAAGAAATTTTCTCAAGCTCCCTTTAAAAGAGATGTATCCTTTGTTTCGGTGATTTTCATCCGTGTTAATTTCAATATAGTTAACTTAAAGCTTAAGCTATTAAATTGAGTAAAATATGAGAGAAAATTGGTTAAGATGGTTTATGAATATTTGGTCCTTAATGGAATTGAATGATGTTGTGTGATCCATGTAACTGACTTCACTTAATGAGATGGTGTGGGGCTTTTGTTGTTGTAGATATAGCATGCCCCCTCATGCAAGTTTTTTATTGGCTTTAAGTGTGGGCAATTCATAGGCTCACTTTTCCTTGTACTGGGATTAAATTCAATTATGATGTATGGGTGTAGCAAGTATCCAATTCCTAGGGGCTTCGCTACCTTGTCTAGGACCGACTCTCCTTAAAAATTAAGCAGTTAGTACGCCCAATAATGGTTTTATATGTTTAACAATTGGCATCAAGTGGAGTAGAAGTTCTTCACAATACAAATAGTAGTTATCTGATCTGATGATATGGCTTTGTGTAGGATTGTGGCCAGCCTGGGTTTACCTTGGCGGAAAGAAGACGGTTTGGTACCATCTTAAGAGAGTAAGTGATCTTTTATATATTGTATTTGATGTAATTTTCAATACCCGATTTTTATTCAACTTTGATTGTAAAAGTTAGATTTCAAAAATTGTATTTTTTTTTTTCTTAATTGTTTTAGCTACCCATTTTAACAGTAGAGTCTGTTGCAGTGAGAGGTAACTACAGCAAGTATTAGAAGACTAGGAGAAGTTGGAGCCCATCCTGCATTTTTCTTTAGATAGTATTCTTCAGAAGTTTTGAATTAGTGTATGATGTCTGTATTTTCTGAGATTCCAACCCAAGACAAGGCCAACTAAATTGATAAAAAAAAAAAATCTTGCACCATAGTTGACTTGTTACTGGTTGTAGTAACTCCTTACAACTTCCTTTTTCCATTTATTTTTGAATTACTTACTATCATGTATTTAAAGTCTTAATAGCTGATATTATGGAGCATGCTCCAGGGGAAAACTGGTTGATGCCTACAGATTTCTGCACGGGGATAAGAACATGGAGCGAGGTTTCTCATGGTCTGGAAACCCAGTAGGAAGGTAAGAAATTAAACTGTAGGAATTGATTCCCAATGTTAATGTTGATCAACTATTATGTTGAGGCAACGTACTTGAATAATAATATCACACTTACTTGTAGCCTTTTTTCTGAACCATTTTTCATCTTCACGATTTTTGAAACAGTGAAAGGCACCTTCTGTAATATCTCTAACTTGTGTTAAATGGTGGCATATGAATGAGATTCTTTTTTAATTTTTAAGCCAGACTTACTGGTTATCTAATTTAATCTACATCATAAGCTTCTTAGTTCTTAAAAAATGTTCTCTTTGAAGGTATCGCGGAAAACGGATGAGAATAGACTATTTTTTAGTTTCAGAGAAACTCAAAGAAAGAATTGTTGCATGTGAAATTCATGGACATGGGATAGAGTTAGAAGGTAAGTTTCTAGTCTCATGCGATTGATACTCCTATTCTGTTGCTTGTGCAATGAATGTGAAACTGATGACATGGTGATGATTTTATTGCTTACGCATCCTTTAGCTTAATTGAGTTCATACGAAACCAAACCGAACTGCAGCTTGTGGTATTTGGTGCTAACTTGTAAAAACATGACCTTGTTCTTGTCTCTGCTCTGCAGGTTTCTATGGAAGTGATCATTGTCCAGTTACCTTGGAGCTCTCTCCCAGTTCTGACTCCCAAAATGAGGATCCAGTATAAGTGTTTATGTTACAAAGCTACTGTCCTAATTTTTTTGCCATTTATTTCTCTATTGTCTGGACTCTGTATGCTGAATATTTTCTTAATGAGAAGCTATGTTTTATCTGTTGTCTGGGCTCTTCAAAAGTGAAATTTTTGGCATTTTCTTTGGCACGAACGACTTGTTTGCGCATAGAAATGATTATTCTTATAGTATATGATTAGGTGCTTAATCATTGTCATTCTCGTGATAATATCTCCAAGAACTGAACACTGTCCAACACTGCAACACTCTAGCAAACAGTGTCCACTCTAGTATCAGAAAGCAAACAAAATAAGTAGTTGGACTCATCAATTGTACAGTCATATCCAAATCAAATTGTTGTGTGGGGTTAACCTGCAAAAGTTATGACTCGCAAAATGCAAAGCAACTTACTTTTTATATCACTGAATATTTTATTTTTCATTTTTACAACAAAAGACAGATTTATTTTTAGTTTGTAGGAAGACCTTTTTCTAAGAGAAACAAAAAATTCGATAAGAATTTGGTGGCTATAGCGGCAACTTTTAACAGGTGGCTTTGGATTTTGATAGAAGTTCGGGAGAAAGATAATGATAGAAACAAGAACTACTTATCACAGGAGTGTGGTAGTGGCTATATGTAATAGTAACGTAAAAAAATTAAAAATGTATTACTTAGGACTATTTTTAATTAAAAAATTTAAGATAATATTATATAGCCCGCTTTTTTAATAGAAAAACAAAAATTGTCTCTATGAAATGATACTTCCAACTAAGAATGAATCAAATTCATAATTAAAAAAAAAAAAAACTATTTTGAGAAATTTAAACGCAAAAATAATTTACACCACTTCTATAATTTTGCCCCTTTTTTTTTCAGTACAAATAATTTAGCATCTTCACCTAGATTTCTGTATTATATTAAAATGTATTGGGGGTAGTTTGTGAATGCACAATTGTAAACAAATTGATTAAAGAAATTCAGTTTAACTGTTTTCTCTTAAATATATTGACTTAATATGGCACGAATATAGAGGAAATTTCGTTCTCACTCTTTAATGTTCGTTGGAGTGCGTGACATTTTTCTTTTTAATTTATAATTAAATTTTCCCATAAAAAATGTTTCAAAATATCTTTTCATTTCCTCAAATCATGTAAGTATTAAACAATATTTTTCTCTTGGGTTAAACATCTCTATATATATAAAATACCGGTTTAATTTTATTAGTTATGATATATTAAATAATTTGTAATTGAATTTAAAAAGACATATTAAAAAGTTTTTTGACAAAGAATATATATACAAAATTTATTTGAATCCAAAATTAATTGATACTACAATTAGATTAAAATTAATATAATATATATTTTCTAAACTATATAAAAATATAAATATTTTGATATTATTCTGTTTTAATCAAATTTGACATATTCATAAATAATTTATAGCTAAACAATTAGAAGGATAAAATTATCATATTATTTTGATAGAACAATTGATAAAAATTATATCACATGGAAGCTGATTATTGACAAATTCGAAAATAAATTAGGTACATGGACGATAAAAGTGTTATCTTTTGTGGGTAGAATATGTCTGACCAATTTTGTGAGAGATGCTATTTTCATTTTATTTCTTTTCAAGATGTGAAATAGTTTGGCGAAAGAGATACAAAAATTCCGAAACAACTTCTTATGGGAAAAAGAGACGAACAAAGTAACATGGTTTAGTTTAATTGGAAAAATATTTGTAGTCCAAGAACAAGTAATGTAATGGTTAGAGATCTTACACAAGAAGTATGGAATGAAGACAGTATGAAGAGGTGAAGAGTCTATTGGTGGATAGACTTGAAGAATTTGTGTGGAGCTAATGACTAGTCAAAATTATTTGATAGAAGTTTTAAGTGGAAAGTAGGTAACAAAAACAATTCAAGTTTATATGCGAGTATCAGTTTAAGAGAGCAAAATTTAGTAAATGAGTATCTAATAATATACAATAACTATAAGAAGAAGTCGATTTTAAAGCAAAATAATTTGTATATTATTATTGGGATTTGAGTTCTAATTATGTTTTCAAAAAGTTTAAATTTGTCAAAGTTTAATTTGTTTATTTAATTTAAGTGGGCAAGTACTTTCTAGACCAATAGAAAGAACGTTATTTTCTCAACTTTTGAAAAAGAGAAAGAGGTAAAAATTATTTCACATCTTCACATGGCAGTTTTAGAAATATTATAACCCCTGTTTTGTTCACCGTTTGATCCAGATAAAATTTTGACAATAGGTTTTTAACATAATGTTCTAAATTTTGACCCTTGGGATTCTAAATTAAAAATTTGTGTTATGAGAAAACAATTTTTGTTAGAGATTTATATTCTTCTTTATTCTTCAATTTGAAAACTTTGTTTCTTTGACGTATTAAGATGATTGTTAGCACTTATTTGTGCTTTTAATAAACTCTCTTTCTACTTTTTATTTGATGGTAATAGAATTTAATTAACTAGTTTATACCCGTCAGTATATTTTACTTTTCACATTAAGAGAATTTTTCGGCATTAAAATATTTGCGTCTCTTTATAATTCATTATTATTATTTGTTGATGTTTCTTGTTGATTCTTGCAAGTTTTGAAATTTATTTTTTTATGTACTTTGGTATATATCATTATCTATTATTGTTGTTTTCTATACTGTCTTGTTTTTTTAAAAAAGCTTTAAATTTTATTTATTTGGCTTAATTAAATTATTTAGTTGGCTTAAACCATAAAATAAGAGTGTTTTATAAAAGATAAAGTAAGTTAGGTTTTAAAATAAAGATGAAAATATAAAAATAATTATAGAAAGATAACGTTAAAATATAAATTTAGAAAGATAAAAGGTAGAAATAAATTGAGTTTCATCTTTAAAAGCTAAATTTCACTAATTAGTAGATAAATATGATAAGTCATTTCCTTTTAATTCTATACATTTTAGTTTTTTACACTTAAGGAAAACTTTATGGAGGATGGGACATGAAGAGTATGAAGAACTTACATATTCAAGTATTTTGTATTGTCAAGAGAGGTAAGAGGTAAGAGAGGGAGTGAGAAATGTTTTGTACACGAATGTTTCTAAGAATTAAGGATAGAGAGACAACTCTTATACCTCAATAAGATTTTGTTTTGTATAATTTATGTGATAATAAAGTTATAACAAATTGTAAACTAATTATTGATTTGTATTACTTTTATGATACTGGAATTCTATTTATGCAAATTGATTAGGGTTCAAGAGAACCCCTTAGCAATCAATAAAAAGTGAGAATATATTGAATTAAATTTAAATCTCATAAATTATAATTTAATTATTAATTTGTATTATTTTTAGGATCTTGCAATCCTATTTAATGTTTAAATATTAAAAACACATCTAGGGATGATTTGTTTTGGAATTGGAAACATGATTTCCATTAAAGTTGTAGTCTTGGATGTTATCTAACTAAAGACGTCGGTTTATGCAAAAATATTTTGTATAACTCATGATATGATTGTTTTAATAATTAAAGGTTATGTCGTCAGAACTAGAATAAAAGTTTGTGTTTTTCCTCATTTAGGCTTAGTAAATGATTGAACTAGAGTTTAAGGTCAACATATAAGTGCTAGATAATTATGTTAAATTTAAAGTAAAAAAAATATCATATGATTAGTATAACTATAACTATTGTTTTTATGCTGAACCGATGTCATAAAAGTATAAGAGATAATAAGTGAGATATTATCCAAGACTTAAGAGATATAATGATAACTTTATATATGTAAACCTTATGTGTGTATATGTATCAAAGTATATATCGAGATGTGTGATAATGAATCATTTATATGAATGAGATATTATGCTATGAGAATTTGTGTTTTACTTTGAAGAACTTTTGAGTTATAATAAGATAATTATTGTTATGTGCTTGAAAGTAATTTGTTGTTTTGAGAAGTCTAAGCAAAGACTTAGCAGGATGAAAAATTCATGTATTGTTTGGTCATTTGAGAAATCTAAGTAGCGACTTTGTAGTATGACAAGCCAAGTTTTGCTTAGTTATTTGAGAAGTCTAAGTAATAACTTAGCTAGTGTGAAAATCCAAGTTATGTTTGGTCATTTGAGACAAATTATGCATTTATGTATATATACTTCATTCATTTATACTTTCTTTGTGGTAGATGCGATTTATGATGGAAGGTCTCTATGTTTTTCTACCTTAATCTTGGAAATTTTAGAGTAGAGCACCACTTGTTGATGGGAGTCATCCACAACCACTATTACATGTGAATGATTGATAGTGGTGTTGCACATTACACCAAGAAATGAGTTCTTCACATCTTACACTCCTGATAATTTTGGAAAGTTGAAGATGGGTAATGGTGTGTCAAAGGTTGTTGGTGTCAGTGATATTTACTTACAAACCAACATGGGAGTGCGGTTGTTACTTAGAGGAGTCAAACATGCTCTAGATGTTTGTTTTAATATGATTTGTATGCATTTAATTGATTATAATGGTTATGACAATCACTTTGACTTTGGTAAATAGAAGCTCATTAAAGGTAACTTGGTTATAGCTAGAGGGAAGAAAATTTCTAAATTGTATTAGACTAAAGCTTCGGTTGCTAAAGACAATTTAAATATTATGTATATGGAGGCATATTTGTGGCTCATTGAAGGTAAAATTGTTTAGTGGTGCACTTTACTTTATTCCTTTTATTGATGATTGTTCCAAGAAATTATAGATTTATGTAATGTAGAGCAAGGATAAAGTGCCTGAAAAGTTCAAAGTATTTCATGCTTTGGTTGAGAGACAGTTAGATTAATGAGTTAAATGCATATGTACTAATACAGTGGTAAGTATCGTACACCCTTTGATGTATATTGCAAGCAATAAGATATCATACATGAGAAAACTCCTCTTAAAAATCGTCAATTGAATGGTATAACAGGGAGAAAGAACAATACTTTGGTTGAAAGAGTTAGGTGTATGTCT